AATAACTTTATGTTTTAAAGATATTTTAAATACTATAAATAACTTTATGTTTTAAAGATATTTTAAACATTATATATAACTTAATTTTATAAAGATATTTTAAACATTATAAATAACTTTATGTTTTAAAGATATTTTAAATACTATAAATAACTTTATGTTTTAAAGATATTTTAAATATTATAAATAACTTTATGTTTTAAACATATTTTAAATACTATAAATAACTTTATGTTTTAAAGATATTTTAAATATTATAAATAACTGAATTTTGTAAAGATGTTTTAAACACTATAAATAACTTTATGTTTTAAACATTCCAAGAACACTACTCCTTATAGCTTAGTCTTTGTGAACGTTGTTTTGTTTTAATTCTCTTGGACCTGCACTATGAAATAGAAAGGAAAACATGTTCCTTTGGTGTTATCATTTCCAGTGTCTCTTATTGACCACGACCATCACTTAGAAAGTAAGATGGCATCGGGTGAAAAGTTAGTAATAGATGATTTCTTATCGATTTGTTTTGTTGTCAGTGGATTTCTCAGTCTAAATTACTATTGATATTCATTGGTGTGTAAAAAATTCTAGCAGAAAAAAAAACACAACTGTTATATACTTCATAAATTTAAACATTTGAATACCGATTTGTACTTTCTTAGACTTGACAGTTTAAATGTCCTTCCCCCAACTTGACAGTTTAAATGTCAATTTAGATTTCTATCAGTTTGAAAGTTTAGATGTCACTCTGAACTTCCATCAACTTGAAGGTTTAAATGTCACTTTGTACTTCACCAATCTGAAACTATAACGACTTCGGGAATTTCTTTCTTACTCTTCCGACCTGATGATTCTTTAATGTGTTTAAAAAGACCCATAAACGTGTCAATATTCTCACGTCACGTGACAGTTAGTGTACTTAGTTTGGTTGGATGACTCAACAAGTTTGTCAATGTTTTAACGTGACAGTTGGTGTACTTAGTTTGGTTGGATGACTCAACAAGTTTGTCAATATTTTAACGTGACAGTTGGTGTACTTAGTTTGGTTGGATGACTCAACAAGTTTGTCAATGTCTCACGTTACAGTTGGGTGTGCCGAGTTTAGTTGGATGACCCAAAATGTTTGTCAGTATTTTAACGTGACAGTTGGGTTTGCTTAGTTTGGTTGGATGACCCAACAAGGTTTTCATTGTTCTCACGTGACAGTTGTGTGTGTGCCCAGTTTGGTTGGATGACCCAACAGGTTTGCCATTGTTCTCACGTGCCAATTGGGTGTGCTTAGTTTGGTTGGATGACCCAACAGGTTTGCCATTGTTCTCACGTGCCAATTGGGTGTGCTTAGTTTGGTTGGATGACCCCAGAAATGGTTTCTTAGAACAGGTGAACAAAATAATTTGAAGCGCAAGCACGCAATTATGAACCTTTTAACATAAACTTCTCTTAACCTTTTAGTGTTTAGTCTGTATTATTTAATTTACCTTTAATGTATATTATCACCATATATAAACATGTTAGTTTCAGTAAAACAATGAATTAATAACAAAGTGTCATATAAATATGTATATTTGTTCTTTATAAACATCAGGTACATCCATTCGAAGGAAAAGCCATTTAAGTGCACAGAATGTGGTAAAGGATTCTGTCAGTCTCGAACCTTGGCCGTTCATAGGATCCTCCACATGGAGGACTCCCCCCACAAGTGTCCCACCTGTGGACGAAGCTTCAACCAGAGGAGCAACCTGAAGACCCACCTACTTACACACACCGATATCAAGCCCTACAACTGCGGCTCTTGTACTAAAGTCTTTCGTCGGAACTGCGACCTCAGGCGACACATCCTAACCCACACTCTTGGTATCCCAGATCAAGGGGAGGACCTGTCGTCTCCCTCAAACTGCAGCATACCAGACACAGAACAAGGAGAAAGCTTACCGGGTGACGTAGAATCTCACGTGCAAGATATATTAGACGTAGAGAATTGAACCCTCTTGTTAATTTCGACAGTGTATATAGATTAGGTTTTCGTAAAAACAACATTAGTTTCATTACCGGAGAGTATTCGTTTATATGATGTGTGGTCAATCAAAGAAAGAAGATGTGGTTCACAGTGCTTCATCGAAGGAAAATCAAAACCTGGAATTGACTGAACTTTAACGGAAGTTGATTGAGAAGCTGTGATGATTTCAACACTTCACGCATGCGGATTGCTTTCGAATCCTCCAGCAAGAACTTGATTTTCTCTGTATAGTTTATATCTTTCATATAGATCTATTGTAAATTTGTTTTGCTTTCCATAACTTCAACAGACGTTCATGGTAATGTATGCATATGTATTTATAAAGGACACCTCTGTAATTACTTTTATCAGACCGGTTCTCACTGTAAGACTAAGCGCTGTTAGTAATGTGCCAAAGAAAACATCTTACTGTCATATTTAACCAGAGTGAGACAGTAGTTTTCTCCACTCTAGCTGCGCTGTGTAATAAGTGTGTGTTAATTCTATATTTCATTAGAAACAATAACGTTCACGCTTCCTTTAGGGTAATATTTGTTTATTGTAGTCAGTAATTACAGGCAAGAACAGAACCAAAACCTCACAAAGACTCAGTGAAAATCTGGTGCACGACTAAAGCTGGAATTATTAGCTTACGTAGAACTACACAGTAGAAAGAGTTTCTCGTCAACACAGAGATAAATGTCTTTTCAGAGGAGCAACTTGATCCTTTGCTACAATCGTACCTCAACAATTGCCTTGTATATAGCTTTCTTGTACTTTGGGAATTATGTGAAAAAGTCTTAAATTAAGCATTTTGTGCAATGACGTGTACCATATATTCTCATATTTTGGCAAAATAAACGGTCTGCTTTTATTGAATGTAAAGCAGTATGCATAATAATCTTATTAGTTGTGTTTTACTATTGTTACACAGGTCGTATACATCATAATAATCTTATTAGTTGTGTTTTACTATTGTTACACAGGTCGTATAATTATTATGATGTATACGACCTGTGTAACAATAGTAAAAAACAACTAATAAGACTATGATGATGTATACGACCTGTGTAACAATAGTAAAACACAAGTAATAAGATTATGATGATGTATACGACCTGTGTAACAATAGTAAAACACAACTAATGATATTATTATGATGTATACGACCTGAGTAACAATAGTAAAACACAACTAATAAGATTATTATGATGTATACGACCTGTGTAACAATAGTTAAACACAACTAATGATATTATTATGATGTATACGACCTGTGTAACAATAGTTAAACACAACTAATAAGATTATTATGATGAAAACACAAGTAATAAGAACTATTGTTACACAGGTCGTATACATTATATTTCTAACATTCATGCGTAGTACAATAGATATTTAAATATTCTGTAAAAATCAATACTGAAAGTAGCAGCAGAAGCTAACAGACATATAAACATGTATATCTTTAACCGTCTGAATAATATCTAATATTTACATCTATTTGTCTAACACAGAAAAATCATCTCTTCGAGGTGGGGGAGGAATCTATTTACATGTATGTGTCCGTCTATTTAACGTGAAAACCTGTTTATACAAATTAATGAATATATATACCTACATGACTATCTATTTAATTCTCAAAACTATTTACACATTCGTGTATAGGTACATCTTTAACCGTCAAACCCATTCACATAACGTTACGTCAATCTATGTAACCGTCAAACCCATTCACATAACGGTTACGTCAATCTATGTAACCGTCAAACCTATTCACATAACGGTACGTCTATCTATTTAACCGTCAAACCCATTCACATAACGGTACGTCTATCAGTTTAACTGTCGAACCTATTCACATAACGTTACGTCTATCAGTTTAACCGTCAAACCCATTCACATAACGGTACGTCGATCTATGTAACCGTCAAACTCATTCACATAACGGTACGTCTATATATCTAACCGTCAAACCCATTTACATAACGGTACGTCTATCTATCTAACTGTCAAAACCATTCACATAACGGTACGTCCATCTATCTAATCGTCAAACCCATTCACATAACGGTACGTCTATCTATCTAACCGTCAAACCCATTCACATAACGGTACGTCTATCTATC